TTCCCAAATGGGAAATGTCATTATTTTGCAAAATAGTCCAAAACATAAAAATGTAAACATATGAATTTTAATATTTTGGCTAAACCATATTTTGAAACAATACAAAATAATTATATAGACTTAATGAAAGATGTATATGATTGTTATTAAGTCCATAAACCAAGAAAAAAATATTTTTATAAAATTGCATATTTTGCAAACATTTTAAAAGAAAATATGATTTCATTGAACTAAATAACATTGATATTGATGAAATCATATATATGCATATAAGTATGAAACAAGAAATGTATTTTCAATTGTATACAATTGTTTCATATTAAAACTTAAAAACTCAAAACCATGTATGTATATATATATAACTAAATATACATAGAAACAAAAACTTAACTTGTGTGTGTATATATAACTATATATATATACACAAAGAAACCAATTATATATATACAAAGAAACCAATAAAATGTGTGTGCATATTATATTGAGCTTAAGGTACTAACACACATAATATAAACTCCTAAACTAAATTACCTAATCTTGTGATCTTCAACGAAGCTTTATCTTGGTACACTCGCGGATGAAGCTTGAACTTGAATCTTTAACTTGAATTGCAAGGCTTCACTCCACAATTCCGCCAACCTCCATTGGATATGATCGTGAATGCGTAATTCCATCCATCCTCCAACTTGTTGTTTGCCTAGAATAAATACGAAAACACAAACACTAGACAAACAATATTAAAAGTAAATTGTTTGTTAAACATCATCAAAATAAGAAGGCCAGCAGCTATGAGAAAAGTTAACAACTTCATGAAAAACAAGTAACATGTTCATGTAAAAGTTAACATGTTCGTGTGAAAGTTAACATATCGATCTCGTTGAAACTTAATATCATACAAGAAAAGTTAACATCTAACTATTTAAGATAACAACTATATTTCGCCTATGCATTGAAAGCTAAAATCACAAAGTTTACATCACGCAAAGCATAGTTTTAAGAAGAGTTTATTGATTACTTACATTTTAGTAAGAACTTTCTAATTTTTTCCAAAAGTAGAACTCTCTATATTAACAACAGCTTGCATGTGATTCTCCGTACAACCCATATTTCGATTGTGCTCCAACATGCACTTCAAATCATCTTCATTATCAACTGAAAATCTCAGGTTCGGGTGCCTCTCAGATTTATATATCAATGATAAAGTATGTTGACGTACTTTCAGTCTTTCAGATGCATGAAATTTCAATTCAAAAAAGCCTATTGTAGAACTTAGCATCTAGAATATAGCCTTCTCGCCTAACGACACCATGCAAATCAAGTATTTGATGGTCATTGGGGGTTGTTGAAAGTTATGATGATAGTTATGAGGAGTAATTGAGGGAATTTTTAGGACATAAGGGGTTGTTGAAAGTTAAACAGCAAAACCCTAACACCATAAATGAGAGAGTGAGGGATAAAATTATAAAATAGATAACCCACGATAAGTTAGGCCAGTAATGGAGGGAACCCACAGTTTTTCCCCTTCATTTTCGCCGTCGAATCCCATTAATTGCGATGACAGTGATCACCGACTCAGTGGGTGAAGGAGACGGTTTCCTGGTTGAGAGAAGGGGGCATTTTCGAAAGATTGGTACACATACAAAGATTACATGTATAAAAGTGGGGTTTTGGGGCTGGACACACTTTTTTTGGCTCCTTTTGGGCTAAGGGCCTGTTTGTTTGCCTAAAAAAAGTGGGAAATTAAAGAAATAGAAAACTATTTCTAAGAAGAATTATTCTGGGAGTGTTTGGTTTGCTAAAAAAAGAAAAAAATCAAAGAAATGGAGATGAGATGAGATGAGTTGTCACCTTATTATAGGATGATGTGAGTGATTTTTTAAGAAAACTTGTTTTGATATTGTTTGGTTGGCGAAAAAATTAAGGAAATAAATTATAAGAAATCTATTTCTTTTAATAGGTTGTTTTCTTTTGTTTGGTTCATCATTAAAAATAAGAAAATAGATAAGATGAGATGAGTTGTCATTATATTATTGGATGATGTGACTCACACTTAAGGAAATTGTTTTCCTAGTTTTTTGGGAGGAAATGTGTGGAAATAAAATGTTAATGAGATGAGATGAGTTGTCACCATCTTATTGGATGATGTGAGTGATTTGAAATGATGAGATGAGATGAGTTGAGTGATGTTGTGGATAAAAATAATATTTATTTGAAATGATGAGATGAGATGAGTTGAGTGATGTTGTGGATAAAAATAATATTTTATTAGATGTGATGAATGAGTTGTTGGATAAAAATAATATTTTATTAGATGTGGTGGATGTGGTGGATGAGTTGTTGGATAGAAATAATATTTTATTAGATATGGTGGATGAGTTGTTGGATAAAAATAATATTTTATTAGATGTTATGGGTGGGATTTAGGGATGGAAATGGATGAAATTGTACTTTTTGAGTTTTCTTGGTTTTTATTTCTATTTCTTGGTTTTTTAGAAAATAACCAAACAGGCCTTAAAGAGCAAGGGAAAAAGTTGATGGGGTTAGGCCACATCAGCTTCTTTATTTTGGAGCATTGACACATATTTTAGGGAATAAAACGAGGCTACATTATCGGGAGGAAAAAATCCTAAAAATGTCAAGATACTGAATCCTATGTGGCTACATACTAATCCTCAAAATTAGAATTCATGGTAAAAATTGTGGTAAGTGGTCTCTCTCCAGTTACCATATCAGGATCCCTTTCAAATTATTAGTTGAGTTAATTATAGCTGATAAGTAGGCGTGCATGGTTAACTAATTGACTCTGCATTATCTATTTATAGTGAAGAAAATCTAAATTGGGTAGTATTATATATGATTAGATTCAATAAAGTTAGCAAAGGAAACTGAGTGTCACAGATTTATGGCTTTATGGAAATAAAATTATATTTCATACCCTATATTTAATCACCGAAATAACCTCTGCAATTATCTTTTCCCGAATAATGGTGTGTCATGCTCATCATGGAGATATCCTCTCGTCATTTTTTTGATCTTAAATATAATTATCAATTATTCTTAATTCTAATTTAACATAAATTATAATTATTTATTAAATGATATAAACGTTATGACTAAGCAAATAATGTCTATTCCTATTATCATAATAAAGAGGACCAACAAATGGAGGAGTTATTAAGTCCGTTCCAGCTTCCACCTATGCAATTAATAAGGCGAAATGAGACTTAAAAACTCTAATGTTTACTATCTTTACACTTAAATGTTCAAAGTTATAAAAAGCAGCATAAAAAAACTCTAAAATTTCCACAGTTAAAATCAGACAAACACGATTAGTTTTGACGAAAATGCCATCCATTAAAATATAAGTAATAAATTAAACGGGTATGTAAAATGATAGTTAAAGCAACAAATAGGAGCAATACAATAATAAAATTCATGTGTACTATACACGTGGGAATAATTTGTTATTTATTTAACAAAAGATAGCAATATGCTATTTTTTTACAACTTAAGGTATTTTTATATTACTTTTTACAACTTAAGTCATTTTAGGTGTAAAGTCAGCGAAACATTAGTGTATTTAAGTGCCATTTAGCCCATCAATAAAGTATCCAAGCCAATGTTGTGTCAGTGCAACTATTTCTTAGTTTTTTAGATATTAGTCCCTTTAATCTTAAATAATTGCATATTAGTTACTCAAATCTTAAAAATTACAATTTAGTCCCTCAAATCTTCAATAATCCCCTTAAATCTTTAATAATTTCATATTAGTCCCTCAAATCTTGAAAATTATAATTTAGTTCCTTAGATCTTCAATAATTGCTTATTTCCCGCCTAAATCATAGAAATTACATTTCAGACCCTTAAATCCTATGAGTCTTACAAAATGATCATTCGGTTAGCATTTCAGTGAAAAGTCTAATTATTACTGAGTTAACTCTTAACCCAAAAGCTACAATCACCAAACTACCTCTCACTTTGATGTTTCAACAGTTTGTAAAGCTCAACTTTTTGGTAGAATTTTTTGCTAGTCATTGGAGAAGAATAGCACAAGTGAATTTGGATTTATTTTAAGCACGTATTGGATTTAAACCTATTAGGAAATGTGTTGGGGAACATTATAAAAGGGTAAAATAGTCACTTTACCTCTAAATATTACATTTGACAGGATATTTCCCCCCCAAATCTAACGTTATTTAAACCTGAAATATCATTTTATAAGATCCTATAGGGTTTGAGGGACTAACTGCAATTTTGAAGATTTGAAGGACTGACACGTAATTATTGAAAATGCAAAGAACTAATATGCAATTTCTAGATTTAAAGGACTAATATGTAATTATAAAAAATGTAACAAAGTAACATATGAAGAAACCCTTTTTCATAGGGGTGCATTCGGTTCGGATACGGCTCGGATATGATGCTTATCATATCCATATCCGTTTACTCATCTCGGATACGGATACAGATATGGATATACCTCGGAAAGAAAAATTTATAACCATATTCGCTAAAATCGGATACGGTTACGGATATGCATGCAGATATATAAGCGGATATGCATGCAGATACAAAAGAGATATGAGAAAACTAGATAGTATTGAGAAAAACATAGTTCATGTGATACAAAAAAGTTTGTTAATATGTCCATTATAATTGAAAAGTTAAGATTAGACATCTTGATCATCAAAATTAACCACAAATCCATAATCTAAGAATCGAAACTATCGTAAGAGTATGACTAATATGTATTTGGATATTTCGAATATGGATATGGATATTTTACTATAAAACCATATTTGTAACCATATCCTATCAGTTATAGATTTGAGTAACCATATTCGTATCCTAACGGATACGGTTACCGATATTATTATTTCAATTTTTCTACTTTCTGCAAAAAAAAAACGATAAATATCTGCACGTTTCCCAGGGAAAATCAATTAACTCCGTAAATCAAGGGATTCTCTTGTACGTGCAGCAGTTGCTTCATTTTTAGACATTTACGAAACTACCCCTAAATTCCTCCAAATATAAACCCTGGTCATTTCATCTTCCTCCATCGCCTTCTCTGCTTTCTTTCACAAAGTAAGAAAATCAAGAGCCCTCTTGTTTACTCTTAAAAAAATTTCAAAATAATATTTGTTTCCCCCTTTTTCTTTCTCATTTTGCGTTGTTTTTGATGCAGAAATCGTAATAATGTCGAAGAAGGTGATTCTCGAGTACGATGGCGCCTCGAAGGGAAACCCTGGGCGATCTGGAGCAGGCGGTGTTCTGAAGTCTGAGAGTGGCGCTGAGGTAGTAAACCCAGTACGAAGAAGAGCTAATCTTTTCGTTTCAAAACTCAGATTTTCAGCGTGATCTATTTTTAAATTGACCTAACTTCTAAATTATTTTTTTGAAAGGTCATCTGATCATTGTATCAAAACCCTGAAGTTAACATGTTAGACTCCGGAGAGTGATAATTTTATATTTTACCGGGTCGTGCAGGTTGACTGCTATTTTTTTTTAAATGGGTTATGATCAGATATTACGTTGCGGCAACAATAATTTTTATTAAAAAAATTTGCATTTGATTCGTGGCTCTGATACGGACAAGATTGGAACTTGGCCCTGATACTATGGAAAAGTCTCTCTAGCCATTATATCAAAATTCTAAAGTAGTGTGAGAAGATTATAGTTTACATTCTAAGAACTCTTAGAAAATGTCATACGTAAATTATTTTTTTTCTAAAAGATCATGTGCATAAAACTGATGAAATACGTAAAATGGGTTTAAAAATAATTCTGGTTGGAATTTGGGTTTAGAAATAACCTTGGAAGTGGATAGTTTCAAACATAGACCAGGGTAATTTTTGGGTTAAAAACCTGGACATAGTTTGTTTTTTCGTTAGGGTTTTAGTAGAGGAGTTGATGTGTTTTGATCTGGGTTATGATCAGATTGCTCGATTTCGTGAGGGTTTGGGGCATGGAACCAACAATGCTGCAGAGTATGCAGCACTCAACCGGGGAATGAAGACTGCACTTGATATGGGTTATGATCAGATCCATGTTAGGGGTGATTCCCAACTTGTCCACAACCAGGTATCTGAATTTTCTTTTTTTTTTCGGAAATTTTTGATGTTAGATTAGAAGGTTTATATTTTGTGGTCCTAAATTAAAAGAGGGATAAGCGAATAGTTGGCTATCCAAATATTTTTTTTTTGAAAATTTTCAATGTTAGGTTTTTTTTGGCTATTGCTCTATTGGAGTAGTAAACTTGATGACATCATAAATTTTGCAATTTTAAACAATTTTTAATTTCTTTTTGATTTATTTTCGGTTTATGTAGTATAAAACATTTAGTTGCCTCTCCTTTGTGTTGTTCATTTCATATGTGCGCACTTTCCCTTAGTAATAAGCTCACTTCTAATATAGGTGCAAGGGCATTGGAAAACCAGGAACGAGAACATGTCTAGGTATTGCAGCGAGGCTCAGCAACTCGGGAGTCAGTTTAAGTCATTTGATATGGAGCATGTTCCAAGGGTATGAAAAATTTCTCTGTTTGAACTCGGAGCATATTACTTTACTTCATTGAATTACACCTACTTAGAATTTTTTCTACAATCATTAGATATTCAATTTTGATATATACGAGAGAGAGAGAGAGCGAAGTCTCAAACAAATATAGAATTAGCTATTAATATGAGTGAACATCTGTTCTGCCTCCCTCCTACTCGTGATATATTTATTAGTTCTTAAATGTCAATTAAGAAATTGGGACTTGGCAGCTTACTTGTTTGTAGCACTCAAATCTTCAGTTGAGAATTTCTGAAAGGTATAGATTGGTAATTTTCCATTTTGTACTTGCTAAATTGTTTAAAGATTAGATATCAAAAAGAGTGTTCCACATTTTTCTTGCGAAAAGGTTTTAGCTCGCATCTCCCTAATTTCAGGGAAAACTAATACATAAGCATTGAGTGTTGTTTGTCTGGTTTGGGTTTTATTTGTTCTCATTTTCCATCTTTAAAAAACTATTTGCATTTCACTCTTCGAAGTTGTTACATCTCACATATTTATTTTTCTTCTGCCCTCTTTAGGGTTACAATACTGCTGCCGACTCTGAAGCAAACAAAGCTGTTAACCTCCCACGTACAGATTTCATCGTCTTACTCTTTTCTATTTTTATAAATATTTTTAAAAATGCAACAACTTGCTAACATAATCTTTATCATTGCAGCTGGTCACGTTGAGACTGAGGGTGGTCCCTATGGCTATGGAGGTCGCTACTAGTTTCGCTGTTGTCTTGTTAGGGTTCGAGCTCAGCCTTCGTATTTAAATAAAAGTGGACGTAGGTTATGCATGCTGCTTTGGTTGTAGTCTGTCGTAGCTTGAAATGTTTTGCGACTTAAGTATATTATCTTAAGTACGTTGTCTTGATACCTAGTGTTTCAACTTAGTTTGGCTTTTAGAATGCAGTTTAGTTATAAGCTTGGCTTCGGCGCTGAGAGTCCGCTGAATGTGCAATTAGAAATTTCTCATCGCTACCAGTGAGGAATTGGCTGGTTAAGTGCATTTAACCTTGCGTTCCTAAATTTGAGGGATATTAGAATATTGATGTGACCGTGTTTAAATGATGTGGTGGGGTTTATACTAACCCTGAGTTTGCTGAGATCCTCTATTTAGACTTTAGAGCAAATAAGCTCTTATATAGCACTAGTAGAAAAACGATCAATCTAGACGGAAATTTCCGTCTAGGTTTCTCTATGTTTAGTCTAGATTGGTTTACCTAGACGGAAATCCTTCTAGTTTGCTCCGTCTAGAATATTTTCGTCTAGATTGGAGCAAACTAGACGGAATTCCGTCTAGATTACCAATCTAGACGGAAAGCAACCTAGACGGTTGTATAATTTCCGTCTAGGTTGGCATTCTAGACGGAATGCCGTCTAGATTGCCAACCTAGACGGTTTTCCGTCTAGGTTGTAGTAAAACGTAGAGTTCATCCCTGCGTCTCAATGCTCAAGCACAAAGTCCACTGGTGCGTTTTAGCACTATAATATAATATAAAATAAATATTTCGACGATTAAGGGTATGACATAGCTTCAAATAAATAAAGAGAAGCTAACAATGGCCATCAAGGTGATGAAAGTCGAGAAGAAACTGGCCTATGGTAAGAAACTATGCAGCCTCTAGGATAAGTACATGCAGGTTATAATTAATGATGCTGAAACCATCGAGCTCAATGTGTCGCGTAACTCATCCTTCTAAATGGCTTAACATTCCAACCAAGATTAACAAAGCCAAAAGGTGCTCAACTTCACCGAAGAAGACCTCGTTGACAAGTTTGTAGCTGTTGTTTCTATGGTGGCTTCACTATCATCGGCTCCCTTATTACTTAACTCCCGTAGCTGCGCGTTGGGTGTTCATCAATGCCCACAAGAATCTTCTGACTGGTGTTGTTGACATTGAATACACCTCCATATAAGTTGAAGGAGTATCTTAAGGATCCAAACAAATTTGCTGTCACTATCGCTCTTGTTGCATTGACCGAGATGACTTGGATTTTAGCTTGTTTGACTAAGTTCATTGTCATCAAGGCACAAAAATTATATTGTTTGGTTTAACAACAATGACTTGGGCTTTAGCTTGTTTGACTAAGTTCATTGTCATCAATGCACAAAAGTTATCTTGTTTGGTTTAAGGAAGCAGAATTATAGTATTCCGACAACCAGGTTCGCGATGTCTTCGAATCAGACGGAGTGAACAATTATTCAACAAAATTTTAGGATCCAAAGTATTTCGAAAATTCGTCCCAGTCAACCGTGAACTTTCGAAAACTTTGGAGGGGGTTCTGTAGGTTGTCTAAAAGTCATAACAGATGGCTGGTCCCTACCAAACTTCAATGATGGAAATTACAATTTGATGATTTTTACATCAGCATCTTGACAAGGAAAGTTACAATCAGATGATTTTCATAGAAACTATAATTAGAGGATTTTTACGTAGATCGAGAAATGTTATAATTTAATGACCTTCACGATGACTGATGAAAGCTCTGAGTCAATAGCCTTCACATCAACCGTGAAGTTACAATCTGACAACTCTCCCATCCCAAATAGCCAAAGCAAAGATTACAAGACAATGTTTTTTGCAACGCTCTATAGAAGAGATTACGAGTTAGCAATTTCTTCTAAAAACACAGAGCTCACCTCTGTATTCAACCTTCAAAACACAGGCGGCACCTGCGTTTTTAGCGTTTTAGCTTCAAAACACAATGCAGCCATTGCGTTTCAGTATTAGGCGAATGCCTAAGTCTGCGTTCCAAACCTGAGATGCAGAGTTCGGTTCCAGAATGCTAGCTGGAGGCGTTTGACTGGTTCAAACATGAGTTGAACGGTTTCAGAATCATTTTCCCCTTAATTTGAGGGAATCTCGCCCACGTTGGAGCGGATTAAGGGATTAGTTACACCCCTTATCTCCCTAAAAAATCTTAACAAACTCAAGAGAAAAGGAGATTGGATTTTTTTTGGGGGATCGGATCATCCAGTGATCGGCTAAGGTTCAGAGATCGGTTTTTCGGATCAAATCTTCAGATGATCGGCTAGAGAGCTTCTGGGCAACAGAAAATTCACTTGGCTATTAACCATATTTTTGGTTCAAACAACTCTTCTCACAGAGTTCAAAACTCGCTATGAGTTCATAAACTCGTTAAGAGTTAATTTCGAACTTGTCACACAAGTTATCCTCAATATCAATCAAGAGGAATCAACCACGTTCCAGTGAAACAAGACGTTCAGATCGTCAACGGAAAGCAAACTCAACGTGAGTATTCGAGGGAGGCACTTCATCGCCACCGTGAAGAACCTAGAATTAAACAAATGAGAGGATTTTTATTGATCCTTTTCTCTTGTGTAATCGGAAATTTAGACTGTAATCAGTAAGAGATCGAGAGAGTTATAAACATTCTTTTTCTAAGCAATTAGAGGGAATAAATTAAATTTAATTCTTTCATTTTCTTATTACAAACTTTTCACCAAACAGAGGACGATGAACAACTTCGAATTCATTGCCTTTTCTTAGTTAAGTTGGAGAATATGAGTTTGCTGTTGATTTTTCGGCCATTTTCTGCTGATTGTAAGAGAGATTTGATTTGTGTTAGAGAGTGGGTGGGTGCGGTTACCAAAATCAGGGGCACTGTAGCGGTAACCGGTCATGGTAGAATAGGGTTTTTTTTAAAAAAAAATTTCTCTCAAGTTGCTTAGTTGGCGGGGCTAAAACGAAATTTTACAATGTATTTTGGGTTTATACACTTGGACAAAAGTACATGGACTGGTGCACATAACTTTTTTAGATTTGGGGCCTTGAAGCAATTTTTGCTAAAACTTATGGTACCAAATTTTATAAGGGATGGAGCATTGCACTGATATTTTAACAATTTGCATTGAATTTTATTGATTGGTAAAAGGACAAAATTTGAAAACAAACTCATTTTGAAACTTATTTATAAAAAACAATCTATTCTCAACTTATTTGCCAAAACTGTCCTAGTTTCAGCCATCTGGCTAAAACTGGGTCGGTTGTGACGAAAAAAATATCAAACTTCACGGGATTTGAAATCCCGTGAAGTTTTGTTATGTAAAAAGCTTCACGGGACTTCAAGTCCCGTGAAGTTTCAGACAATTTTTCGTTAAAACCGACCAATTTTTAGTAAAACCTGGGTTGGTTTTGACAAAGAAGATGCAAATGAGTCGTTTTTTATAATTAAGTTTCAAAATGAGTTTGGTTTCAAAATTTGTCCATTGATAAAACTAATAGCATGGGTAGAGCCATACATAAGGTTTTTACCGTACAAATGGACCATCTACATGTTCTTGTTTCTGTTTTGATGTTATTGGCTTTATTTATGTAAATACTTGCCCATATTCACAATTAATCTGCTCAAGTGCTATCTTTGAGATAGGTTTACAAATAATTTAACACTGCATTCTCGTAAAGCATTAGTATTCACTTGTTACTCCCAAAGGAAAAAAAAAAAGGAAAAAAAGTAAAAGAAAATGAAGAGGGGGATTAGCGAAGAAGGAAGAGGATTCAGAGCCTGGGCAGCACCCAAAACAATACTAACGACTGAATTTTTTAGATAATTGCAATAGATAACTACTTTAGATAATTCCCATTATTACACAAGTAATATAACGGCAGCATAGAATAAGCTCTTATTTTGTTCGTCTACGCTAGCTCTTATATATGAACTCAAGCTTAAGCCTCCTAGCTTAGGATCCAGCATCAGACCAAGTGACCCGTGCATCTCCGATCTCCGATTTCGGCACGCCGAGTGCATTCCAGACGGCGCGCGAGGCGTCGACGATGGTGTCGCCACAGCCTTTCCCGGTGTCGCACTCGTCGACTACCTTGGCGGTTGTGGTTCGGCCCTTGTAGTTGATGGTTATGTGCTTCAGGCATCGACGGCCGTGGTCGTACCAGCCGGTTGAGAGGGCCACCACCTTCTCTGTATTACTGCGGTACCTGTTAGCCATTAAATATTCATAAAACTGAATTGTTAGCCATCTCGTTTTAGTTCGGACCACCTCTCTTCTCGTCTAAACTAGAACTAATTAACGTAGAATGAAATCAGGTGAGGATTGATCCTAACTCTGTCTTTAATAGATTGCCAAACACACTCTTACTCTTCGTACATCTAAAAACACATTTGTATCTAGAGATACTATTGTACTTCAAATAAATAAATAAAATGGTGATAGCGCATATATACTTTTCTGTTCTCATATGATGAAAAATCTAGAAGCAGACGAAAAAAAATTATTTACAAAAAAATCCTCAAATTGCATATTGCTGGTATAGATAATTGATTTATATATTAAACTGATTTGTTATGGTGAATATTAGCTCTATTGGGATTTAATCTAATGGACATATTTTCCAGAAGAAAAAACAGTTTTTTTACATATATTAGAGTATAAAATATAATTCAAAATCTTAAATATCTATGAAATTTTGTACGGTGAGAAAGACGATAGTATGAGATAACAGAGGCGCCTAGATTCATAGAAAAAGTTCAATGGTGCATCAAAACTTTTAGCATGGAATGAAATACAAATCTTATCAGAACGTCTATATGCAAGTGAAACCTTCCGAATCATAGAAGGGGAAGTTGAAATCTCGAATTAAAGGCCTCCCTACTTCTCTTGTCTAGTGAATATTTTCAAAAATATCTGTTCGTATGCGAGATGTTCTGATAAAATCTGTAATATACTGGATACTCCATGATCAATACATTACCTGCCATCACACTCTGAGGGCCCACCGCCGTCCCCACCTTTCTCAAAGCTGTTGATGGTCATTCGGGCCCTAGTCTTACCAGTTACCGGTGGCGAGCTGGTAGCTTCAAAGGAGCATTGGGAAACAATGGCTAGCACTAGAGCAAGTGGAAGAAAAGACCAAGACATTGTGTTTTTGATGCATAAGTTTGATAAAGTTGGGCTCTTTTTATAGGGGGAAATTAAGGGGCGGTTTTATTATTATTAATTTTTTGTTGTTTTGTTGTGGGTGGGGATATCCCGAGGGGGGGACGGGAGGCTACTCTCTTGAGATTTCACGATATTTTTCTTGCTATTAACCAACTTTAAAGCAACAAAAACAATATGTACGATGAGTAAAGACAGTTTGTAAACTTAATTATAAATGAAATCAATAACTTCACAAGTGACAAGACTTCTCTCCCTATGTTTTTCTATGATGCGCCCCTCTATGATATTTTTTGTCCACCTTTTGTAGTAGCTCAAAGACTTTTCGAAGTGTTGCAACGCATCATGACAGGGATTTGGCAAAAGAAAATAAGTTGCGTGTAACTAGTGTAGTCAAGTAATCGTGGTTGGAATCCAAGCCGTGTACTTGTTGTGGATTGGATCACGTGGAATCATTTATTGCATCTGATATTATAATGGAGAATGGTAACTTTTTATTTTAGGAAAAATTGTGTTGGAGCCCCTCTATCTTTGCACCTCTATCTTTTTCTCATGTGCTGCAGTCCTTAAATTAGACATCTATATGTTGCAGCCATTTTTTTAGTAATTATTCTTTGCCAATTAAGTATAGAGAGAGAATAAAAAATAAAATAAAAATCCCAAAAAGCCTACATCTCTTCCATTCTTTTCTATCTAAATATGATGGTTATTGCTCATCATTCATCCTCTTTTCTAACACATCTTCTTCCTTCTCTCCTCCTCTTCCTCCTTTTTCTCTCAGACACCGACATCTCCTTCCATCACCACCGTGAAAGCACCCTAGTGTCACTAGGAAAGAACCCTAGAGGGGGGTGAATAGAGTTCACTACAACAAAAAAGCTAATCCGCGAGGAACAAGTTTGTCGTTGAAAGTCGAGATTTCCTCGTCGTAGTGTGTTGGCGAGGAAAAAACTTTGGTCACCATTTCCTCGCGGTAGGGTGGTCAAGAAAAGTTTCTGCGAGGAATATTATAATTTCTCGTGAAATCCTTTTTGCGATGAATATATTCTTTTCTCGTTGTTACTCTTTAGCCTCGATATTTTTCCTCACCTAATCTCATACATTTTCATCGCTAAACTACAGTTTCCTCACCAATGATACGTGAATAATATTTAATTTATATATAATAAAAGTTCTAAAAAACTATTTTTATCGTTGTAAGTATCTTTCAGCGAGGAAACTGTTCCTCACCAAAGATAAATCTTTAACGAGAAAATTGATTTCCTTCACTATATGTATCTTTTTCTCGTGGAAACAATTCCTCAGTAAAGGGACTCAAAGACGAGGAAATTTAAATTTATCGTTGTAGGTTGTGCCCCATATTCATCGCCAAAGAAATTCAATTACGAGAAAATTTACATTTGTCGATATAGGTTATATGGTCTATAGCGAGGAAAATTACTTTTGCTGTTATAGGTTGTATCACTATAGTGAGGAAATATATTTTTACCAACGTAAGCAGAATACTCTATAACGAGGAAATATTCTTTTGACGAAGTAAACAGTATACTTATAATGAGGAAATTTTATTTCATCAATAATAATGCTATTACAAGAAAAACACTCAAAATATAAATAATTGTCATCAATTGTCACCACAGTACATCAAAACAATTAAAATAAACAAAGCAAGCAATTTTCTACCATAAATAACAATGCTAGTCTAAAGCAATAACAAATGCAACACGATCAAAAAAACATTTCTCCAAGTTTAAGTTCACTAAGAATACTAAGCTGATGGATGTTGCCTGGAAAAATTAGCCATAAACTCCTCAAACTTTTTGGCTTGCTCCTCCAATCTTTGGATTACCTTATTTTGTGCATCGATCTTTTGTTATTGAGTTCCTACAAGTTGTTGGGTCTCTTGAAACTATTTTTATAACTCTTTATTCTTTTCAGACATTTCACTCATTGAAGAACGAGAGAACCTTAATGGTGGTGGTCTAGGGCCAAAACCACAGCCCTTAATGTAGCATGATTTGACTTTGAGAACTTTTGCACAAATTTCTTCATCTGTCGTTCGAGTTCCACCAAGTTGAGTGGTATCTGCTCGCATCTTTATCATTTGATCCTATAAGCAAAAAAATTGTTCGAGTTCCACCAAGTTGAGTGGTATCTGCTCGCATCTTTATCATTTGATCCTATAAGCAAAAAAATATATCCAGTTCAATCAATCTGCTCGCATCTTTATCATTTGATCCTATAAGCAAAAAAATATATCCAGTTCAATCATATGCAACTTCGCAATTACAACCTAATCAATATAATCCTCTTTAGAACAGTAATATCAGTTTCGCCTATATTCTTAAAATATTATAAAAGCATGCATCATTGACACGTTACTTACCCATTTTTCCTTTGCACCCAAAATACCTGAATGCTATCCACAATCTCATCAACCTTACCACCTCCACGCGAAACACCCGAAAAACTTCCGCCATTTAGATTTAAGTTCTGCACCACTCGACGGGAAAGCTACAGACAAAAAAAAGAGCAAACTGACAATTAAAATAAATGGACATACTTAATCTTTCATCTAAAAGACTCTAGAGGAAAGTGTTCTTACAGGCATCTCTGACAATCTTTCATCAAAGAATCCACGATAGCCAAATGGTATTCCGACTATATTTTTAACCCCATACTTTTCAAGAGTAAATACTATCTATAAAAATAAGAAAATGTTACTATAGAATATGTTAGTATAGATAGAATACGTAATGATATGAGTACAGTTTGCCCTTCGTCCTGAATGAAGAAAAGACATTACACAACGAAAAAAATCATTACACAGTTGATTTGCTTTGATAAGCCAATGTAGCTATTGTTTAGACATATCAGCTAAGGTCTTGACACTAGAGAAAAAGTAAATATATGTGCAACATGTACATACATACATACATATATACATACATATCTGTGTATGGCTCCCAAACTGCATATCTCATTAGGGTATTAAATATTGAGTGCCAGGTCAAGTAAGAGAAAAAAAAGTTCTGTATCTGGTAGCATATATTAGTGAAATATCAGGGTTCTTTAGTAAATATCAGGATGTCAAATCGGATAGTGTGCATGTGTGTATAATACTTTGTGTCAAAGAATGGAACTATAATTGAAATGTGCTCACGTCTTGTTTATGCTTAAACCTTGAAATTATTAAAGAAGTTACTAATATTTCTAAGAGTATAATGCTATGACTAAACCTATCTCATATATAAATCCTATGTCTTCTCAAATCTCATAAGCCGAAGGTTTTACATAATATCCATGATGAAAATGGGAAGAGTTAAAAACAGTGATACATTTTGGAGCAAAGAGTAGCTTATTGGTACCAAGCAGTAGAGAAGAGGAGGGGCTTATGGTAGGCAACAATTAATGGTGATAACATGGTTAGGACAGCAACACAGCACACAGTTAACCTCAAGGCAGATGGTCGGGAACTGCAAGAGCTGCAACACTCTTGCAAAGAATTAGAGCTTAATTGAGCCTAATTGTTCTTATGAGTGTTTCTATTAGGCATTAGCGGATACAGGTTTGGGTTCAAAGTTTAATTGAGTTAAAAACTCAAACTCGATCTTTAAGACAAATAAAACCCATAGTGAGTGCAAAGCCAGTCAAATTTTTAGGCCAAAATGGTTGCTCAATGTATCAGAGATATATCAGGAAAAACACGATATAGTGCTGAAAAAGTGACGAAACGATAAATCTTATTGTTTTGTAGCAAATGTTGTCAACCAGCACATTGGCCAACATGTCGGTCTATATTTAAACCAAGGAATCTCGTTTTAGTGAAATGTTGTGCTTTAGTCATTATTAGACTAGCAATATGCTAGAAATAATTGAATTGGAATAAGATCAGTGCTACGAAAAATTGACCAAAAATCAACCTGCACCAGGAATGCATTTCCAAACCCACCCAACATTGCAACATTGAGCTTCACTAGTGAGATCTTTTGGGGGCAATCTTTGCCGAATCACATGCCCACTGCTGAGTGTCATGAAAATAACCTTGTCGTACTTTTATGCTACCAAACAATCTCCAAGAGAATTGGGATCTTGGACAATGATTTAAATCATTAATATTCACCTCCAAAGTGCAGCCTCATTGAGTTCATGTAGCTAGAATTGTGGCATAATAACATAGCAAGTTTAAAACTGCATATCGGGATTGGGCTTTACATTACCATGTCATCAGTTAAAATCCATACTAATTTGTAGAAGTGACCTCTCGCAACTAATCCTTGTGTTTGACAGGTAAAGAGACAAAGCATCACACTTTTAACTGGCCTTAGTAGAATGTCTTTTTTATATTTGCAAATGTGACAGAATGATAGTTGTGATGGATTCACATTATTTAAGACTTGCCGAGACAGTGAATTCCAGGTTTGCAGGTCAGATGAAGATATCATCCAGTGCGATTAAGTTCTTGCGCTACAAATTCATTTCTAGACATTAGAAGAGTTGGCCAATTGAGCTTACATACCAATCAGTGATGTTGCACCATGTGGATGACATTCTAGATCAATATAATTCATCACTAATGCCCACAGTGCATCACCGATGTGAATGATGCAACTCAGGCATGAAGAGACACTTGAAGCTTCTGTCAAGATAATTTATGTACTTGACGTTGATCCGATGTCGAAAAGGTTTCATATTCCCACATTAAATGCCAGGTATCAAACTAAACTCTACTTTCAATAATGCTTATAGTGTGGCAAAAAATGATCATTTGCGTTTCTATAAATATTAACTGTCCATGATACATATAGAATTTGATTCTAGGACATGAGTTAAGAGAAAATATCCGACCTTGATGAATAGGCAAAAAAAGGGGTGCCTGGTGATTTTACTAGTGAAGATGAGAGAAAATTATACCTGTCTAATAACATCATTTAGACTAGGACATAGGCCTCCACAAGTAACTATTGCAGCTTTTACTTCCCTAGGCTCATAGTAAATCTGCTTGTGTGGACCTGCACGATGCACCCTGCAGCAAAAAAAAAGTCCATTATCATCATTATATAAGTCTCTTCCCATAAAATAAGCTGTAGAGTATAACCAAAAGTCAGGAAATTTCCCCAAAAGGATAGACCAAGACTTTACAGCAGTCATCTCTGTCAACTTCCTATTAATAGGTGCCAAATTCTCAGGCAAGGTAATTATTTAAAATAGAGCAATTAAGGATCCTGTCATATAAACCTCTTCCCATAAAATATATCGGCTTTAATACAATCCTAAGTCAGGAAATTTCCTCAAAAAGGATTGACCGAGTCTTCACAACTAGTCAATCCGGCATCAACTTTTATTAGTTGGCTGAAAAATTTCAGCCAAAATAATAATGAGACACATGGTGGATAGACCTAGAGATTTGTGGTCTTGGAGCTTACGCTCTTGAAACCAAGGAGCAAGTCTCTAAATTTATCTGATCTAGAAGAAAAGGTAAGATGACAGAGTTTGCTGAAAGAGAATATGGCAATTTTAAAGCACAATCAAGTAATAAACTGGACCTATGCAGAATATAATTTATCATATTACAAGTTTATTCCATATGATGTAGTAATAGTTAGGCTTTTTCCCCCATGTTGCCGCCTAAGTTTTTGTTTCCCCCCTCCCTAAGAATTCAGATTTTGGTTAATTAATTATAAAAAAGAAAAAAATGAAACCGTTTCAAATAGAAATATGAAGTGAGTTGTCAGTGGTCCCGTTTTTTAGGATTCGGATCCTCTTCACTAGAAAAAAATAGTGGAAAGACCACTACATAATCACAACCATTAATTATCTAGTTGATGGTTGTGATTTTTTATTTGAGTGCAAATTAGGAACGAGTGCAATACACGAGGGTATGGTGAGTATTAGATTTAGATTGTATCAAAACCGCCTACTAAGTAATTAATAATTAAGATTAAAAATAGTGATCTTTTCATTACTTTTTTGTAGTGGAGAGGATCCGAATCCCGTTTTTTATAGGTCCCATTAACAATAGTTTACTTATTAACTGTTGCTAATAAGGCCTTTTGTAGTAGTGAAACGAGAACCTCTAAGTTTCAAAGTGCAGCACTGCAGCGCTGTGTTGAGATTGAGAGAAATATTTTCAGAAGTCAATATTATCTATTAACATAATCTAATTTTAAAAGTATGAAATAAATATATATTCAAAAATCACAAATTGTTTAAATCTTATCAGATTTGTGAGCAATCCTTTACATTGGGATCCCTTTGAACCTGAATAAATATTAATTGGTTGTTAATCTTCATGTGAATTGTGCAAAAACCTACAAAAAGAAACCATCAACTTGACAAACCAAATCCTTATTTCTATCCATACTGGAGCTTTACCTCGTGCTGGATATTTATTCAAAAAAATCTAAATTGGCCCACGATTGTTGACTTGTATATGGACATTTGTTAGGCCATTGGTATTAGAGCCCCGCTCTTTTCTTTGAGTACCCGCCTACTTTTTACCCAAATTCCCACCAAAATCTTCACCAATAATGAATAATGAGGATATTATTATTTTCTCGCTGATTGGTTTTTTAACAAAGAAATGATTTCTCGCAAAACAAAATCTTTTAGCGAGGAAGCCTTAAATTTGTCATCATTGAATTTGGCGGGTTTTGCACATTTTCCCGCCAAACTAATAATGAGGAAACTATTATTTCCTCACTAATTGATTCTTTTAACGAGGAAAGGGTTCCTCGCCAAACTAATAATGAGGAAACTATTATTTCCTCACTAATTGATTCTTTTAACGAGGAAAGGGTTCCTCGTAAAACAAAAAAAGATTAGTGAGGAAACCTTTAATTTGTCGTCAATGAATTTGGCGGGTGTTGTACATTTTTCCGCCAAATTAATAATGAGGAAACTATAATTTCCTCACTAAAAAGTTCTTTTTGATGACAAAACGGTTCCTCGTAAAAAAAACTTTTAGCGAGGAAGCCTTAAATTTGTTGCTATTGAAATTGGCGGGTTTTGCACATTTTCCACCAAACTAATAATGATGAAACTATTATTTCCTCGCTAATAGGTTTTTTAACCAGGAAACAGTTTCTCGTAAAACAAAAATTTTAGCGAGGAAACCTTTAATTTATCATCAATGAATTTGGCGGGTGTTGCAAATTTTTCCACCAAATTAGTAGTGAGAAAACTATAATTTCCTCGCTAATAGGTTCTTTTTAACGAGGAAATGGTTCCTAGTAAAAACAAAAACTTTTAGCGAGGAAGCCTTAAATTTGTCACCATTGAAATTGGCGGAGTTTTTCCCCCCGCCAAACTAATAATGAGGAAACTATTATTTCCTCGCTAATTGATTCTTTTGATTAGGAAACGATTCCTCGTAGATTATGGATCTTCAGCGAGGAAATAATACTTTGTCGCTGTTATATTTGGCGGATTTTCCTCTATTTCCCGCCAAAAGAACAACGATGAAATGATTATTTCCTCGTTAAATGTGCATTTTGCGATGAAAAAGTTCATCACCAAAATCTCATATTTCCTCGCCAATAAAATAACTAATTAGGAGACCAAATCATGATCATCTTTAGTGAGGAACTAAAATTTTCATCGTAGAAGGTGGTCTACTGTGAGGAAAATATATTCCTCGTAGAAGACCTACTGATATTTACCGAGGAAACAATATTTTCCTCGTCGAAAGTGATATTTGTTGAGGAAAATTAATTTCTCACAAAAAATTTGGTCGCTAAAAGACATGTCTGTTGTAGTGGTTTATGCCAATCTAATCCGATTTATACCAAATTAAAACTTATTAACAAATATATCCTAGCAAGAATGATATATTACAAATATATGCGCAAGGATATATAAGTGACACAAGGGTATAAACTAAACTAGATAGTGGGTAATATAAACAACAAGCAATATACAAATGCGATATAAGATATGAACATAAAAATAAGTGCGTCAATGTAATCACAAATAAATGATATGTTCACGGAGTTCGGTCCCCACGACCTACGTCTCCGCTCCTCACCTCGAGGAGATCTCTACTATCACACCGGGTTTTCTACGCTTACACGAAAAATGTTTACACCTCACAATGTCGGTTTTCAACGCTCACCGATCAACGTTCACAATCACTCACAATGTAACTACACTAACTACCACCTCAAGTGTTGGTCTCTAGTCCATGTCTCCCTCAAGTGTTAGGAATTACAACCTCTCTCTAGGTATCACCACCTACCCCACTCCTCTTGGGATGGCCCCGTCTCTTACCACACACTCCTCTTGGTGTACTAGTGTAATACAAAGTGAATCTCACAATTAAGCACTCAAATCAACAAATGATTTGTTCTCTAAACAAGGTGAGAACACAATATATGCTCACACTCTAAGTCACAAACCCACAACCTAAATTATACTATGAATGTAAATACAATAAGCTCAATAGGTTGTGTGTGAACAAAGAGATAAATAAACCAAAATTAAACTCAATGTAAATCTAGTTTATGGAAATTAAGTTCAAACATATAAATTGCTAGAAATAGAGTTTAAAAAAACTTCTCTATAGATCAAGAGAAAGAGGGAGAAGAGTTGTATGCTCAAACACAATAGATGATCTCCACTTGCTCTTGTGAAATTCTCTTCACAAACAAAACTCTTAAACACTCTTTTAAACAAACTAAAACAAACTTTAAACCCTTGTTAAACTTGTTTAAAACATTCTTGGCTATTAAAATGAACTGAGAATATATGGGGGTATTTATAGGAAACCCCAAAGCCAAGAAGAAACCAACAAAACCCAGCAAAAAGATAAAAATAGAAAAGCTGGAAAAAACTAGCCGTTGGGCCGTCAGTCGACTAATACTGTTCATCAGTCGACTGATGAGCTGACCGTTACAGGCCAACAACACATCATCAGTCGACTGATGAACTCGTCAGTCGACCAATGACCTCATCAGTCGACTGATCAATCGACTGAAACAAAACAGAAACTTTTTTAACATTCCAGGCGATTTCTTTGGTCGACTCATCAGTCGACTGATATCATCAGTCGACTGACCAGTCGACTGATAACAGGTTATCAGCCTGTTTTGAAACAAAAATCTAATTTTTGAAGTGTCTTTAAAAATAGCAAATAAATTCTAAAAAATGTAAAACTTTGGAAAATCATTGTAAACATGTAAATGAACATGTTACAAAAAGAATTTTTAGAATTGTACTTCTCAATAGTGAAAATTCATCATTTTTAAATATGTCCAAAAACATAAAAACTAAACATATTATCAAGTATTGGCTTCTGACTTTGTTCTGAGTAGGTATGTCACGTTTGACTCTCGGCAGGTGGAGAGTGGTGATCAGATCATTAGGACATCACAGTGGGTGGAGAGTGATGCTACTCCACGTTGGGTGGAGACTCCAGATCATACTGCATCATTTGGGATTCCAGCTGATGTGACACAGATTGGGAATCATGTTGATTCGGATGCAGATGATAGGTTGATCAATTCGAGTATAGCTGATATATGGAGTCTGGATATGGCCATTGGTTCATCTTAGGTTGAGATATTTGGATTGTTTCAGTTTAGGGCCATTAGAGGTGCTATCAGCCGTAGACTTAATCGTGATGTTGGAGAAGGGTTGCGAACTCTTCTAGTGGATTGAGACCTTTGGAGGCTATTTGGGTGAACTACATTCGGCTTGATTCCTTAGGCAAGATGATACGTAGGCAGTCTTTCAGATGTAGCCGGTTTGATCGGTTGATTCAGATGGGGGGAGGTTACGTTTCAGCTCTAGTTTAGTTCCCGGACTTGTTGAGGGACTATTGGATGATTTAGTGTCGGCTCAGTTTTGGTAGAAACATTCGTCAAGGTGGAGAATTGAAGAAATGGCGAGAGAGAGTGCAGGAAATCAGCAGAAGATTCAGCCAGGTAGATTGGCGGTCGACCGCGAGTCAGCGGCGGTTGACTGCGAACGTGCACGAAGGCCAGTGGGATTCGGAGCTGAAGGCGGTCGACCGTGATAGTCGACCGCGGGGACCCTGTAGGCGATTATCTCTCGGGAAATAAGTTCGGTCGACTGCCACGGTCAACCGCGAGTTTGATTGTAGGATTTTGGTTATCTGTCGGGGGTGTTCGGTCGACCGCGAGCTTCGTGAG